AGCTTATGCTCTAATAAATTTGTTAGTCTCTAAGGTGCCACAAGTACTCCTGTTCTTCTTATTAAGAAAGGGATAGATAATAAAACAGGAAATATCATAAAATTTATATAAAATCCTTGAATACTGCATGCAGATGTGGTTGCCCCATCTCAAAAAAAAGATATATTCGAAATGGAAAAGAGAAGGGCAACAAAAATTATTTGGGGTATGGAACAGCTTCCATATGAGGTGAGATTAAAAAGACTGGGACTTTTCATCTTGGAAAAGAGATGACTAAGGGGGGATATGATAGAGGTCTATAAAACCTATGGAACTCTTTGCCAGAGGATGTTGGGAAGGCCAAAACTATAACAGGGTTCAAAAAAGAACTAGATCAGTTCCTGGGGGATAGGTCCATCAATGGCTATTAGCCAGCATGGGCAGGAATGCCACCCCATGCTCTAGGTATCCCTCATCTCTCATTGCCAGAAGCTGGGAGTGGATGACTGGATATGGATCACTTGATGATTGCCTGTTCTGTTCATTCCCTCTGAAACACCTGGCATTGGCCACTGTCGGAAGACAGGATACTGAGCTAGATGGACCATATGGCTGTTCTTATGTTCTTATGATGACTACACTAATTTTCCAAAATAGCAAAGAGTATCATTATTTAATTCAAACATGTCTGCCAGGTATGTGATAAGCTAAGGAGCTTAACTTTAGATCATCCAATTGCATGCCCTCCAACTCATCTATTAGTCTCAATGTCCAATTTAAAACATGATGGAAAGCATTGGCAATTCCATGTCCCCTTAGACCAAACTTTGACTTGAACCAGTTGCTTAATTTTCTGCCAGTTCATATGGCACCTCAGGAGCCTTCATACACAGTTTTTAGATTTGCAATTATCCTATCTGGAACTCCATATGATTTTGATAGTTTCCATAATGCTTCCCTCCAAACCAAATCAAATGCTTTCGTAAACTAGATGAAAATAGAAAACATCTTTAATCTTCATTCTTGCTTTTTTCCATTAACTGTCAGAACATGAATATCTGATCAATGCAATTTTGGCCTGATCTATGACACACTGTTCCTTGCTTGCTAATGCTAAAACTGGCCTTAATCTGTTAACTACTTCCATCATGATTTTTCCCAGTACTAGCAATAAACTTATACCACTATAATTATTTGGATTGGCAGGATTGCCTTTCTTCAAGATTAGTACAACTATTGCCTTAAGCTCGTCATCTGGTACCTCCTTTGCTCCTATACTTTCTTGTATATTTTTTCTAATGCTTTGTTAGCCCTTGTCCCAGAGGCTTTTAGCAATTCAGCTGTTATACTGTCTATCCCTGAAGATTTGCCATTTTTAACTGCTTCACTGCTCATTGACACAAAGTTCTCTTTCTCTTTCTATTAGTGCTGCAGAATTCTGCAACAGAAGGAAAATAATCTCCTGAGATTAAAACCTGATGGACAAGAAAGAAAAAAAGAACTGAAATGAAAGCTTTTCCATCTGAAAAATGATCACTTTAAAATGAACTGTGAAATATCGCTGTTGATATTTCTGATTATAGTCATTTGTAAAAATGCCCTGTGTTGTTATAATTTTGAAAGCAAGAATTTAAATTTGGCCAATGACATTAAAATAGGAAATGTCAGGCCCCATGCGTCTAGAACCAAGGCCTGCAGAGCTGCCAGGTAGCCGGCCATGCCAGGCTGCCACCCACCTTGCACTCCACTTACCCTGACCCACTGTGGACTCAGACCATGGGAAGTTCCACCTCAAGGGTTTGACAGACAACAGCCTCATGGCTCCTGATTGACTCACTGGCCTATATCAACCTTAGGGCATTTCAGGAAGCATCCAGATAACAGTGTGGATCTCCTGTAGTGGCCATGTCCATTCCTGCTCCTGAATTCATGGCTTTGACCTTGATTTGATTTGGACTTCACCTCCTGACTTGGACCCTGAAACTTGACTCAGACTCTGATCCTTGGTATTGACCCTGACCTGGAACCTGAATTTCTCTGCTACTCCCAGCCTCAGGTTTGCCTCTGTTCTGACCTCTGGCCCAGACTGCCCTTATTGAGATCCTGACAGGAATACTGAGTAAAAAGGGGCTTATGTCACTTTGGCATTTCAGGCATAATTGTCAGTTTATGAGGAAGTTGCAGGGGTGTAAATGGAGGTGAATTTTGTCTTTTGGACTGTTGGAAACAGAAGAAGTTTAATAACTTTGAAATACAAAAATATGAAGTTTTTTTCCAAAAATCAAACAAAAGATCTCCAAAGTATTCCTATAGCTTAATAAGCTGATAGGGAATTTAGTGACAAATCCTGATGTTCAAACTCAAGTGAATGGTGATACTTGCGTGAGTACAGTGAGCGGGATTTAGAGCTTGTACCTGAAAAAGTCTAAAGAATTTAGCCTTTCCTGCAGCCACAGTTGAAAGCTGTTAGAGGAGCAGGAAAGAAATTGCGTACGAAAAATATCCCTTGGTAACTGTCACCATGTACTCAGAAGGCTGTACTACACAACCTTTACTCCATCCTCAGCCTTTGCTCACCTAAGTAACATTTATTTCAGTGTGAGCACCAACATGAGTGAGTATTACAAAGTCTAACCCAAAATGTGCCATTGCGCACACAAGATCCAGTGCCAATCAGACCAAATGATACACTGTTTGAGACACCTTCTCGACACAATGGGACAAAATTATAGGTCAAAGTATTGCTAGCACTGTGCAGGCGTGCTGAGAGAGATGAGGACCCAGGGAACCCCCTTTTCACTCCAGTGCAGCAGGCAACCATAATTTGATTTCAAAGCACTGAGGAGTGCAAAAAGAGGGAAGTCAAAGAACTCTGGGGTGGCTGCGTTCTACCGCCTTGTGTCACAACCAAAATATGCAAAGAAGCACTGAGGCAAGTGTATTCTATACCTGAATAATAAATGTTTCAAGTTATGCAGGCACCCAGCACCCCAGTAAGCATTATCCTGCTCCTGGCTTCGATAATAATGCCTACAGGGACTCCATGTGAGCAATGTCCTTCTGCCCTACCATCCAGAGCAGCTCAGGCCTTAATAGTGTTCAATTCCCACTGGCATCAACAAGTGGCCTATGCACAGATGGAGCATATGGCCCAGTGTCTGCACAAATTCCTGTTAACTCTGTTGTTGGTCTGTTTTAAATAAATAGCTCTAATTATAATTAGCTAGCTACGATGGTTACAGAAAGCAGTGACACTTCAGAAATATTGGCTTGTGCTACTAGCTACAGAAGCTGTGTTACGATAAACAAATCTCTTGCCAGTTTGTTGTACGCCAATTACATAGAGGTATTTGCTCATTCTGGAAGATAGATCAATAAGCCCAGAAATGCCATTTTCTGTTAAACTCAGCTATGCATCAGTTTGATCATTTCCATCAAGAAAACTGGGGAGCCATCCTGGGATAGGCCATGGAGAAGGGTCCAGAAAGAGGCTTGGAAACAATAGAGAAAGGTAGGCCAGGGAAGGGTAAAGCAAATGAAAATTTCTGGGGCAACATAGTTTAAGACCCTAGGCAGGACCTTTCAGTGAAAGTGGGAGGAAGTCCCCCTTCACTCCACAGGGGTGCAAGTTGTGTCCTAGGGAGGACAAAGAAGGAAATGGTTCAGCCTTGTAGCAAGGGGGTAGAATATTAAGGTCAGGAAGGGCTATTTTGTTTTGGATGAGACTGCATGGTTTGGGCAGAGGTACTGTACCAGAAGGGAAATGAGGCATGAATTACCATATTGATGGGGAGACTAAAGAGCAGAGAGGAAACTGAAGCACGGGTAGTCACAGCTAGCACCAAAGGGATAAGAGATGCCACTACACTTACAAACCATATGATCACAAATACAACAGACCTCTAGAATGTTAGTTTATGTTCTTTATTATGTACTTAAGTACTGAGAGTTTTGAAATGTTTAGGGCTAAATTCACACCAAAGAAATGATATTAAATTAATTACACTGGTTTAGAATATGTCTAAATCTGTTTAATATGTTTAATATGTTTTGTGTGCAGTAAGTAAGGAGTAGTTTGAGTATTCAAGAATGATTAAGCACCTAAGTGGATCTGGGTTTGAATCATAGAATCATAGAATATCAGAGTTGGAAGGGACCTCAAGAGGCCATCTAGTCCAACCCCCTGCTCAAAGCAGGACCAATT